CCAAAACTCGCGTTTGAATCATCAGTGGCAACGAAAAACACAGCGGCCTAGCGTGAGGGGAAGCCCCGGCTTAGCGTGCGCTGAGGCCGGGATAGAGTGAGCTGAGGCGGGCTGGACTCCGCTTTGTCCATGGTGAAAGCTGAAGTATTTCCTCATTGACCAGCACGGATCAGCTCTAAGCATGACGAAGCGATATCATCCTCTTTTGGAAGACCAAACAAAGTAGTTTCGCTTTCACAACGAAGCACACAGCGTCTTCAGGACATGGCTGCAGCGTCAACAATACTACAGCGAGAATAAAAGTTACGCCTTCTTTCTTTGCGTGAACATTTGGGCAGCGTTATGCAAATCTTCCCAGATCGTGATGTAGGTATGTGGGGGTGTGTTAGAATGAGCCGTTTTAGGTAGGTGTGGTTAACTCTTAACTTTTATAAAGAATATCTCTTTGGTTTTGAGACTTTAGTGTTTGCAACTTTACAGATCTTCTTTATGCACCAAGAGCTTGTAACACTCCAAAGAGAAAGGAAAAATTGAAATCGCATCATATGACCCCTTTAAAGTCCCTGTAAAGTCAATTCTGAGAATTGTTTCTAAACGCATTATAAATGTTACAAATGTATTGCTGAAACGCATTGAAAAAGACTGAATTATGTAGTACTGAATACTGGAGTTAGACCGTTAAACAGTTTTTCACCAATTCTGTGTTCAGGATTTTTTGGGCGGGGCTAAAACAGTGGCTCGATGACGCGCTGGAGCCACCAATCATGGCCCCTCCCCTAACACTATAGGTTTCAGCACAGACAGTGGACACGCCCCCAGCGTTTGAGAAAAGAGGATACCGCCCATTTTTTCGAGATTTTGATAACTTATTTTATGTACTTAGCGGACTTTTTTATCATTCAAATTTGGCTGAGTGGTTAATAATACATTTTTCTGTTGTGTGACAAACTCAGAACACATACTTAATATTGACTTTACAGGGACTTTAATATATAAATGTAAATCATTTGTAGCTATAATTCTGAATATATAAATGCAAATTGCAATATATAGATATAAATCTTAATAAATAGATACAAAACTGAATATATAAATATAAATCATGAATATATGTATAGAAGTAAATTTGAATATATATATATATTTAAAGAAATTATAAGTTTTAAAAGTACATGGTATGTAAAACTTAAAAAATAGCCAAGTACATGGCTATTTTCTAATTTGTAATATGTATAAATGTAATTCATGAATATAGTTATAATTCTGAAAATATAATTGTAAATAGGAATATACATTTAAAAATTCTGAATATATAAAAGCAAATATGAATATATTCAATCTCAATATAATTATATCTTTATTATCTGACATACCAATAGACATAGGTTCTTTCTTTATTTTTTTTTCAATGAAAACAGAATGCCTAAACATCCTGTATACATGTATCAGTGCAGATATTGTACTAATTATTAATTAATTATTGTAAGTGCATATCGCTTATCTTAACCAAAAGGAGTATTTTCCCTTACTTGAAAAAAGGCTGGTGGTGCCAAAAGATCCTCACAGTCAGTGACAGTGTTAATACTTAGCTTTCTAGACAATTCAGCATGGCTTATAGAGCTGAAACATAATCTGTTTACAAATACTGATTTTATTCAGACAATTGCAGCGGCATGTGAGACTTATAAATATACATTCCCATTTAGAATTATAGTCAGAATAACAACTATATATTCACAATTTACATTTATATATTCAGAATTATAACAACATGTTCACAATTTACAATTATATATTCAGAATTATAACAACATGTTCACAATTTACATTTATATATTCTGATTTACTTCTATATATTCTGGTTTATATTTATACATTCTGATTTACTTCTATATATTCAGACATACGACTGTATATTCTGATTTACATTTATATATTCAGATTTTATGTAAGTATTTCCTCTTTGTCCCTTTATAATAAATACATACATACATACAGTACATACATACATAAATACAAATATCTCCCAAAGTTCCACAGAAGAAAAAAGATGCATACAAAACAACACACACACACTGAACACCAAAACATTCTTCAAAATGTGTTATTTTCTATTCCAAAGAAAGAAAGTGATACAGTTTGGAAGAACATGAGTTGGAATAAATGATGACAGAATTTTCGATTTTGGGTGAACTGTCCATTTAGGAAATCTGCTGGGAAAACCAGCATCCAAAGTACAACATCTGCTGGATACAGTCTATGTAATTACAGAGAACGATGCCGCATGGAATCTACTGTATTGTATAAACATTAACAAACTGTCACAGTGTTTTAGATGTTATCTTCACAGTATCCCTGTAAAGTCCAGCTGGTGATTTTCACTTCTTAAATCACTGTATGATCAAAGGCTCTTATTAAACTGCGTTTACACTGACTGTGATTTTCAGCAACAAACTGACCAGCAGTGATTTATTTTCAATGAGAGTTGGCTATTTGAGCCATCATGAGAGACCATGGCTGAAGCAACAAAGTTCAGCAGAGTTCAGCTTTATGCAAATGCACAGTGACATAATTTGTCAACTACCAATGGGAGTGCAGACAGTGAAGTGTACTGAACTCCTAAGTGACTTAAAGAGATCGTTCACTCACCCTCATGTCATTCCAAACCTATATGACGCTCTTCATTCTGTGGAACACAAAAAATATATTTTGAATTATGTTTCAGTTAATACAATGAAAATCAATGGGGTCCAATGTTCTTTTCGGACCCCACTGACTTTCATTGTTTTCAAACTGTTAAAACATTCTTCAAAGTATTTTCTTTTCTGTCCCAAAGAATGCCACACCGATTTAGAACAACATGAGGGTGAGTAAATGTTCATTTTTGAGTGAACTATCTTTTTAACGTGGTGTTCACAGCCACCCTTCCTTTCTGAACACAACAAAGTGTTGTGTAACCCTCAGATGTTAGGCTAGTGTCACAGGAGATGACATCACCAGACTAGTTAGACATTTTAGACACCTCAGTCACCTCAGTTATACCCTGACATCATAAGAAGAAATGCCTTTCATCTCATGTCCACAGAAACCAGACACATGTATGAGAGCATGTACACTGGTGTGTCTGCAGGACAGTAGTGCTGTATGCATGTGTGTGTGAGTGAGTGATCCTATGAGTGAGTGCAGGAAGTACTTTAAGTTTTAGTTTTGCTCCTCTTTTGACCACTGCTTCTCGCTAAGCCTCATCCATGCTGAAGCTATTACAGCTCAGCGCCCTGTCAGACACTCGCCATGTGCGTTCTGTTAATGTTAATCTGACATTTTCCTCTTCTGCGAGGGACCAGCCCTCTATCTCGCTCGCTCCGAGATGTTTCCATGTGTATTGTATTTATGCTAATCCGTTGCTTTCCTCTGGCAGAGACGGAATGACCACTACACGCTAAACTCCACAGTGTCCTTTCAAGTGATGTCCATGCCTTATCGGATCAAAGCTGATTCACTCCCACACCAGAGCAAATCAGTGAGTAATCTAGTGTGTTTGTGTGGGTGCAGACTGAGGAACGTGGAAAACAACAGAGGAAAAGGAGAACGTGGATTAAAACGAGAGAGAAAAAATATTCTCAACTGAGTTTTAAGATAGACTAAACACTGCTTAGTTCAGTCTGTTTAACTTCTTATGGAGTAGTTTGAAGCATGGAAGTTTCTAACATTCCTATTATTTGCTGTCTGGCAGTTTTTCCTCTTTAGAAATGAGTGGAGATTATAGAAAATCATCAGGAGCAAAATCTGGAAATGTTACGAATCAAATTTGAACTCTCTATTTCCACAAGAGCACCAAGATTCAATGTTTTGGAATGTACACTACAGTTAAAAAGTTAGGGATAAGTTAATTTAAATAAAAAATATTTTCATTTAGCAAGTACACATTAAATTGATTAAAAGTGACAGTAAAGACATTTATACTGTTACAAAAGATTTTTATTTTAAATAAATGCTGTTCTTTTGAACTTTCTATTCATCGAAGAATACTTTTTAAAAAATGTATCACTGTTTCCAAAATATACACTGAACAAAATAATAAATGCAACACTTTTGTTTTTGCCCCCATTTTTCATGAGCTGAACTCAAAGATCAAAGACTTTTTCTATGTACACAAAAGGCATATTTCTCTCGAATATTTTTCACAAATCTGTCTAAATCTGTATTAGTGAGCACTTCTCCTTTGACGAGATAATCCATCCCAACGCTGACATCAGCAAACCGCTCACCCACACGACGCCATACACCCTGTCTGCCATCTGCGCTGTACAGTGAAAACCGGGATTCATCCGTGAAGAGAACACCTCTCCAAAGTGCTAGACGCCATTAGGGATACTCCGATCCGCCTTTTTTGCCTCCGATACCGATTCCGATACCTAGGGTTCGGTATTGGCCGATTCCGATCCGATACCAGTGAACATTTAAATAAATGTAGAATTTATATATCTCTGTGTGTGGCGTCTGCGGTTGTGAGGCCGGTTGGATGTACTGCCAAATTCTCTGAAACGCCTTTGGAGACGGCTTGTGGTAGAGAAATTAACATTAAATTCACGGGCAACAGCTCTGGTGGACATTCCTGCAGTCAGCATGCCAATTGCACGCTCCCTCAAAACTTGCGACATCTGTGGCATTGTGCTGTGTGATAAAACTGCACATTTTAGAGCGGCCTTTTATTGTGGCCAGCCTAAGGCACACCTGTGCAATAATCATGCTGTCTAATCAGAATCTTGATATGCCACACCTGTGAGGTGGATGGATTATCTCGGCAAAGGAGAAGTGCTCACTAACACAGATTTAGACATATTTGTGAACAATATTTAGGAGAAATAGGCCTTTTGTGTACATAGAAAAAGTCTTTGATCTTTGAATTCAGCTCATGAAAAATGGGGGCAAAAACAAAAGTGTTGCATTTATAATTTTGTTCAGTGTATTAGAATGATATCTGAAGGATAAAAACTAGAGTAATGACTGCTAAAGATTCAGATTTACCATCACAGGAATAAATTACATTTTAAAATTGGACATATTACCATAGAACGTTTGTGGTATTTTAGACATGTACCATGTTATTGTATAAGTACATTGGAGTACCATTTAAATACAATGGGATCACCAGTACCAGATGATACCATGTGCTGTTACCACCACAGTACTTTTTTGTAAGCCTCTTTATGTATTAACAGCATTAGGGCTTTCTAAGTGCTATAAACATAATACCCACACTTTCCTCTGTGTGTGTGTGTGTGTGTGTGTGTGTGTGTGTGTGTGTGTGTGTGTGTACTATATAAAACTGACAGAAAGAAGGAAATTAAATAATAACAATAAACAAAGCTTTCTGAAGGAGCTTCTGTTACATTTAGTTGTAAAACGAGACAGAGATGAGAGGCGATAAGGGAAAGTAAGCTATTAACCTGATTTATGCATGCTAATCTCATAGCTACATCAGTGCTAGTAAAAAATTAATGACCTCTGTGTTTTTGTGCACTTGTGTTTTTAAGATTGGCACATTTGTGGTGTGGGCCATTCCTGATGTTTCTTTTGCCATTCCCCTGTGGGTAATAATTCTGGCTATACTGCTAGGTCTGCTGGTGCTGGCTATGCTTAGCCTAGCAATGTGGAAGGTAGGTTGATCTAACACACACATACGCACAAATACACAGTATCACACTGACCTCCGTATCGTCATATCGTTAACTGATAATAAACAAGCTGTGTGTTTCATAGCAAGCACACAACGCAGAGGTCTATTGTAGTATGGTTAATGCGTGTACATGCTGGACAAAGCCAAGCTACAGTCACATTATCTAGGTTTGTTATTCCGACTTCAGATGGGCACAATTTCAATTAAGGACTAAAGTGTTTATGTGAAATTATAAAAAGACAAATTAATGCTTTAGTCTGACTGAAACTGAACTTTGTATGTTCATGTAAACGTACAAAGGAAATACATGCTCTCAGAGTGTTTCATGTGTATGTTGGCAATAGTCTTGAAGAACAGCTAAATGCGTCTGTCTGTGCTTCAGTGAAATAACAAAACAAAGGAACTACAGGGGGTAAAGAAAGAGATGGCTGTTAGAGATAGAGTGAGAGAAGGAGATGGTGGAGGAAGTAGAAAATGGGGTTGGAGGAAGTGAAGTGAAAAAGAGTTATGGGGATCGCTGGAAAAACTTGATGGAAATTGGCCAATCGGATTAACAGATAAAGGAGAGAGAGATAGGGAATGCTGTTGCAGTTGGGCATTAATGAGCCATTTGAGATGTTATCAGTGTTTTGTCTGCAGGGCTGTTCTCAGGCTCTTGATTGGGTCCCTATGGAGGAGACCTGCCCTAATTGGCTAACATGTACAAACACACTGATGAGTGACCAGTGTGCGTGGGTGCACAAGAGGAAAATATCAATCAGATGCGAGGGGGCTTTTAGACCAGTTGTGGCTCTAGATTTTAGTTTAACACAGGCCATTATATGTTTTATAGATAGTGTCACATAAAAGGGATTAGAAAAGTGAGGAAAACATGAATGTGTCCCACTGAGAATACAATGTAATAGCCCCCTCTTGTGGTGAAATTGGTTGTTGACAAAGTGTTAATGAACTTTTTTTTATCAACATCAACGTTTTGAATTAATATACAGTATAAATTGTATTGTATAAGATGTGTGTGTGTGTATATATATATATCTTATACAATACAATTTATATATTAATTCATACAGGGATGGGCAGTATTTCAGAAACATGTATTTAAAATACGTATTTGAAATGCAAAATACTTTTTTAAAATACATTGAATACAATTTATATATAATTTATAAATCTGAGATTTAATATATATATATATATACACACACACACACATTTGTTAAATTTAGATTTAGAATTAAATTTCAAAAAAAATTATTTATTTGTTCATTTTTTCATAATTGATTTTTTGTTTTTCTTATTATTTACCATGTATTTCCAGGTTTAAAGTTGATTGTGTATGTGTGTGTTATGAGTTGATTAATGATAGTATTAGGATATAAAATATATATGCATATATTATGAAATCATAAGAACTGCATATATAATAATTAGGTGCTGTAAAGGTGCATTCATTTATGTCAGCTGCTCATATAGAAGCCAGAGGAAGTGCTTATTACGATTACTGCCCTGCTGCTTATCACAAAATATTTCCCATTTTAAAGGAAATTATATCTGCTTAATCAGCATCTGACTGCAGTCACTGAGTGAATCTCAGGTCTTAAATGGGCCATTGTTTTCAGCCTCTGAGAGCACATCTGTGCAAGTGTTTTAGAAGACAAAACATTGGAAGAAATGAATAATGTCTGTTATCCCAGGGATCATATCCTCATCATCTGTTCTTTGTCTTTTTTCTTTTCCTCACCCATCTCGTCCCACCTGCTCTCCTTCTTCAGTGTGGCTTCTTCGATCGGGCGCGGCCACCCAAAGACGATGACGTGTCAGACCGCGAGCAGCTGACCTCAGAAAAATCCACAGACGCGTGAGAGCAGAACTGATGACAATTATGAATTAAGAGGTCATGGGATGAATCACCATGAAGAGAGTGGAGGGGCTATGTCCAAAGGTTTCGGTATCTTTGTAGAAGACTACAGATCCAAGCCTGTAAATAAACTACAGCTCTCACACTGGACTGCAATCTGTGAGCTGGGCCACAGTACCACTCAAAAACATTTCTAAAGCTTTATTTAAAATGACGGAAGAGCAAGAACTATGGATGTTGCACTCTGATAAAGCTGCAATATCCACAAGATCCAAAGTACAAGACTACAGGCTGATCAATACAATCCCAAAGATTTAGATCTCACTCTCTGATCAACTCCATCGACTTACATTGAAGCACAGTGATAATTTTTGACAATATATTGTTTAAAACTTCCAATGGAACTTAAGATCATATCTTCTCATCGCCAGCTCAGCACAAGATCTGGATCATCCCACAATATGCTTCACATTGGCCACGTACACACTGCAGCTGAATATGGATTCACTCCTCTTTTAAGACATTTCTGATATTTCTTTCATTTCATATTTAAATATCAAACACCAAACAAGGTTAAACTGTTCCATATTTCATGTTTACAGCCGAGGGATTATTACTTTATTATTATGATTATTACTGTGGCAGTTTCAGGAGTGACTCCTGTTTTATGTACACACACAGAACAATAATTTAGGAGATTCACACCCACACTTGTATATGGTTGTCACTCTCAAAACTTTGCAGTGTGTATTATATGGCCATTTTTAACAGAGTGCTTAAAAGTAACACAGAAAGTCACATACTGTATGCAAATAATTAATGTCACCTACAAGTATACTTTATGTATTGTCAGAAAATTATTGATGATGGTGTAGTGGTAAATTCTGCGATCTGACTAGAATCTTTATGCTTACAAAGCTGGTCTGTTGCATCATCAGCCCACAATGTAGTTTCACAGCATTGTCTCATTTCACATGCCTTGTCAATGATTGTACTGATTACATATTGAAGCTTGTAAAAGAATAGCTCACTACGTATAAAGATAGGGATGGGGGGTTATGAGCAGATATAAATTATATGTGCAATAATGGGACATTTTTGAGTTGATAATTTGTGTGTACACTGGCTCCAAAATGTTTAAAACCTGAGGTTCAGGTTGTTTTGTATATAAAGGTAAAATACTTATTTGTCAGGCTTTTTCAGAGAATATTTCTTATCCAAACTAAAGGGAACAACAATATTTTGTCTTTCAGTGCTCTAAATGCATCGATAAATCACCAATAATGTCAGATGACTTGGGCACATTTATTTCATCTATTGGGAATTCTTCTTTTTTTTTTTCCTTTCCTTTTTTTTACAGACTGCTACTGTAACATTGTATTCAGAGCATTTTAATGACGACTTTTTTTCCTGAATTCATATGGATTTTTACCTCAATCAATTTATTTCAATAAATATGGACTGATAATACAAGAACTATTTTAAAAGAATCTTAGTCATAACGAAACCACATCTTGTTATATTTTCTCCTCTGAAAAGACATGATCAATGTTTCAGTTTATAATTGATATATTATGACGTGCAGCCCTGTCTATTTTTAGTTTACACGCTTCTGAAATTAAAATGACATTTTAAACTATTAAATTTGAATACAGTGTGCGTGCGTGTGTGTGTATTTGAATTGTTGCATTATTCTACCTTTGAAATGACCAAAGTGAGAAATCTCTATCTATCTATCCTTTATTTAACCAGGAAGATCCCATTGAGATATAATCTCTTCTTCCAGGGAGACCTGGTCAAGACAGCAGCACACAAAGTTTCACACACAAAACAAGGACAGAACTGTAGTTAAACAAGACAGTAAATAATTATAAAAGAGGTCAGGAAAAGCACTTAAAGAGCAGGTCATATGGTATTTTAAAGTGTCTTAATATTGTGTTGGAGTCCCCTACAACAGGTTTAAATGCAGCTAAGGTCAGAAAACATTGCAATTTTCTCAGAATATACATTTAATATTAGAGTCATTTGTCAATGATTTCGAAGCGATTCGTTCCAAGCAAGTTCGGAGCAAACCCCTCCCTTCCATAAGCCTACTCTGCTCTGATTGGTCAGCTGGCCAAGCCTGCTGTGATTGGCACAGAGAGGAGTCCTTGAGCAAGTTAGCGAGCGCTACCATTGGCAAAGCACCTTTACATAAAACAATAATATAGTGCTCTAATCCGTTCTTATAATAATGACATAAAATACAAAAACACTTATGCAAGTGTGCCCACAGCTAAAGTTTAGCTGCTAAACTGTGAACACTTAAAACAATAATAGTGGATACGTTAGCCGAGTGCTGACGTGACTAACTGATGAAACAATACAGTTTGTAAACCAAAATATGTCTACTGTAATGTTTGAAGAACGACAGACAAAAGACGCTCTGTGTCTTAACTTTTAAGTAACATTTTCAATGCAGGACTTTTACTTGTATCAAGAGTATTTTTACAGTGTGGTATTAGTGCTTTATACATTATGAGGTAAAGGATCTTAATACTTCGTCCACAACAATATTTAATGAGGTTAACTCATAACTTTACCTTCCTTGTGGTCAGTCTGCACAAGATCAACGCGTTTGTTTGCTTTGCGTCCCCTTTAAATACAAGATAAGCACTCGATCTACTTCAGAGCGTCAGAGCGTCAGAGCGTCAGCGAATCTTTCTACAGCGCTGAGCGTTGTTGGCAGGGCGGCCAGAGCAGAGCGATTTCTGACGCTCTCGCCGCCGGCGGTGTGAACGCACAGTAATTCTTGCGCTAGCAAATGCTGTTGATTCGTTGTAAACACAAAATCACCTTCAATTTGGAACTAACTTTCGCTTTCTTCTAAAGTGTTACTAATTTCAGATGCACTGTATATACTGATATCCGCTTTGAGAGTTTGGCGTGTCAGTTACTTGACCTGCTTGCTCTCTCTACTTGACATGGCCACCAGTGACATTATATAACCACGCAATACGTTCTAAGACAGCGTTTGACACTGGCTGACTGAGCGGTAGAAATGGCGTCGAAACGTCCCTTTACTGAAGAGGACTTTACGTGTCCTGTTTGCTGTGACATTTTCAGTAAGCCCGTGTTGCTTCGGTGTGGCCACAGTGTGTGTAGAGACTGTATCCAACAATACTGGACGATCAAAGGTTCAAGAGAATGTCCGCTGTGCCGAAAAAGATCCACCAAGGACCCTCCGGTAAACTTGGCTCTGAAAAACTTGAGTCTGGCTTTCCTGAATTACCGGGGCACACCAACACAGAAATCACGCGTGCAGTCCTATCAGTGAGATCGCGGAGGAACGTAAGGTGGGCCTGCGTCCTGGTGGTGTTTAGTGGCCTTAATCAATTTAGGCACATTTAATATTCTAACGCGCTCACGTTGTCTTAATTTTAGAAAGTTTTTCGCAGTGAACTTGATCTCTTGACTAGAAAAATGAAAATTCTAGAACATGCCTAATTTGAATGCAGTCACCAGGCTGAGCACATATGTGTAAGAAGGATGAGTTTGATTTATGAGTTCTTTTTTAATTAATCTGACATTATATAACATTTCTGTCTGTGTATTTGGTGTTCAGCACCAGGTCTGTCACACAGAGAACTCCCATCAAAAAGGACTTTAAGCATCTTCACCAGCTTTTATATGATAAAGAAAAAGCCATGCTGGCTGCACTGAGGAAGGAAAAGAACCAGAAAACACAGCTCATGAAAAGCAAAATGGAAAAGATTAATGAAGAATTATTTTCTCTGCCAAAAACTATCAAAGAACTGAGAGACAAATTGGATAGTGGGGACGTCCAGTTTCTTCAGGTTAGCCCTTTATTTGTTTCTTCTTCTCAATCTCTTTTTTTAAATTCTGTATAATTTTAATCAGTACAGCAAAACAACAACCTGTGAAAAGTAGTAAAAGTATGAAAACAATCTACATATTCCAATTATAAAACTGGTCAATCAAATAAATAATTTAGTGTATGCTGTTCGGTCTTCATTAACTTTTTATATTTCCTACAATTTTCAATAGAGCTTCAAGGACATGTTGGAGAGGTGAGCAGGTTTACTCCCTTTCCTCTTTTTTCCCCTCAGTATTGAAGTTAAGCAGCAGTGCTGACCTCTGAATGTACTTCCAGAGCCCAGAACATGAACCAAGAAACAGAAACAGTTCGAGGAGGGCTTATTGATACCGCACAATACCTGGGCAATTTGAAGTTCACAGTGTGGTCGAAAATAAGAGAGTCTATCAGTTACAGTGAGTTCATTTATAAAATATTCAGACACGTTTTCATGCACAATATAACGCTTTTCTCTAGTGAAGCTGAAAAGCAAATTTTGCTTCATCCTACAGTCTGTGATGGTAAAGGGCCGTTCACAAGGATAATTCTGTGAGAATAGGGAAGTCCACACCCCGGCTATAACAGTAATGGCACAGAGGAACCATATCTTTAGAATCACTTTGAATGATTTTAGCTGATTAACACTAACAGCCAATCACAATCCAACAGAGTCTGATGAGCTTGAGCATTTAAAGTGTCAGACAGCATAACTGCAGCACACGCTTAAAATAAACAGAAAAATATTGTGCATTGTTGTGGATGCTAATATAGTTATTGTTACAGTTATTTTTATAGTAATCTTGGTGTAAACTGGCTGTAAGAGTGTTCATTATAAAAATTTTAAAAAAGGAAAAGTTTAATTTAAAACATCAAGTTCTTAGAAATGTACTCTTTGTATTCATGTTGGTTACATGGGTTTGTAAAACTTTTATATAATTTTCAGGAAAAGTTTCAATTTAATGATTTGTCATGTGGTGTAATCATAAAACATAATGACATTTTTCTTTACACATTGAATACATGTGGATCTTAATCATTATTTTTAAAAATCTTTCTTTTTTCTTTTTTTAATAATTCACCCAAAAAACGTACTCGCCCTCAGGCCATCCAAGAGGAACAGATTTGGAGAAATTTAGCATTAGATCCCTTGCTCACCAATGGATCTTCTGCAATGAATAAGTGCCGTCAGAATGAGAGTTCAAACAGCTGATAAAACAGTTCTATAGTCAGTTCTAATATGATCGCTTGTTTTGATGCCTCCTTTGTTAACACCATGTCTGGGCAGAGAAGTGTGGTTGTGATGTTTTCTGGGAACTTGAGCTGCCTTCCTAGGTCGACCTGGAGCTGCCAGTCCTGTGCAGTGGTAAGAAGCCCTCCCACCGAGCTAGACTGATGAAGTGCTTTCTCCCCAGCTCTGATTAATGAGATGTACTGTTTGGAGGCATGCTGCTTCTTGCAAATCATCTTGGAATGCTTTGCTGATTGTGTCCCCCAAAGAACCTTAGAAGTTGGTCATGGCACAAGCGATACCCCCCTTCCCCAAATGCCTTCAAACAGCAACTGAGGATGTGCTCAAATGTGACCCTCTTTTGGCACAGTTGGCACGCTGGTGTGTCTGCCATTCCCCAGCTATGCAGATTGGCCAGGCTGGGGAGCATGTTAGAAACTGTTTGAATAAAAAACTTAATGTGTAACCATCTGGCTCTCCAGAGAGAGCTACTAAGATATATAATATCTAGATATAATACTACTGGAAAAGTATAATGCATTGGTGCATGCATTGGTGTTGTAATGCTACATTTCTCCAAATCTGTTCCAATGAAAAAACAAACTTGTTTACATCTTGGATGGCCTGAGAGTGAGTACATTTTGAACACATTTTCATTTTTGGGCGAACTATTGCTTTAAATAAATTTTCAAGGTAAAAACTATTTTTTTTATGGAATTATGACACAGTTATTATATTACACTTCATTTCCAGCGATATCGTTGACATGATTGCAAAGATATTATTTAAACTGAGCTGGATGTTGACATCACTGAATTCAATGATGAACTGTCTTTAACTGAAAAATGAGTGTTTACTATTGTCATTTTGCATTATTGACACTATTTTCCTAATTAATGCTGTTCAGTTGCTTTGTCACAATCTGTATTGTTAAAAGCGCTATATAAATAAAGGTGACTTGACTTGACTTATTATGAGGGTCTGCAGAGGTCCTCTCTGATATTTCCTTTTTTCTTTTGGACCACATGATTATGATTTTACATTTTTTCAAACATTAATAATCAGTGAAGCAGTTTTATTCAAATACTCGTTTCGAAGCATCATTGATTGATTACATTTATAATGCAACATCTTAGCACTATTCTCTGTTTTTAACCCCTGTGGTGCTCAACCCAAACACCGCTAACTCTCAGCTTATACTCTCTGAAGATCTGACATGTGTGAGGGACCGAGATGAGCAAGAAGAGGATGACATAGTTGGAGTGCAGCTTCCTGATATCCTGGAGAGGTTTGATAGGTGTCCCTGTGTTCTGGGCTCTGTGGGCTATTCCTCAGGGACACACATATGGGATGTGGATGTGGGAGACATCACTTTCTGGATTCTGGGTGTCACTACAGAGTCTGCCTAGAGAAAAGGAACCAACAGCTTGCCCAGTGAGGTCTGGTGCATTGGCTATGACAGCAACACACTCAGTTTGAAGGCTCTTCGGGAGTCATGCATCTCTCTCATTTGGTGTGAGAAACCAAAGCAAGTGAGAGTGAGACTCGATTTAGAAAGGACAGATTTCATTTTCAGATCCTCTCGGCAAAACACACTATCACACATTCACAACCAGATACACAGAGAAGTTCTTTCCATTCTTTCCACTCTAATTAAAAGAGATATAAAGTCTGTTTAGAAGCTTTTGTAGGTTTGGCATGATGACTTTCTTGTGTCAGTTTGCAGTGTTTCTTGTCTACTTTGCCGGTGGAAGAAAATTTGTAAGGTTATAGAAAAACAGTGCAAAGTGACTGGTGATTTATCTTCTTGAACTTTGATTCTGTGTTCTTGAAGCTTTTTGCAGGGTTTTTTTATATTTATATTCAGTTTTCAAAAGTTCATTTGGTTTGCAAAGTTCACCATGATAAATCTTTATAATTTTTGAATGAACCTTGTCTCTTTGTCTTTCTTGTTAGCATGTTAGTGAGCTGGAAATACCTGTGTGTGTGTATATATAACTTGTAAGGTTTAGAATAGTTATAAAATAAGTATCAATATCTAATGAAATAAGGGACAGATACTATAATACAGATATCATAGTAAAATGAATAATTAACAGCAATGAATTGAATTTCTAGATATTAGTCAAGTCAACAGTTGATATCTGCACCACAAATTCCCATAAAATTCAAAAGCAATAAAAGTGACAATGAAATTATATATACAGTGGTGTGAAAAGGTTTTTGCCCCCTTCCTGTTTTTTTAACTTTTTGCATATTTGTCACACTTCAAAGATTCAGATCATCAAACTAATTTTAATATTACACAAAGATAATGCAAGTAAATACAAAATGCAGTTTTTAAATGACGATTTCATTTACTAAGGGAAAAAAGCTGTCCAAACCTACATGGCCCTACGTGAAAAATTAATTGCCCCCTCCTGTTAAATCATGAAAGAACTGCAATTAACCACATTATTTTCGAAAGCTGAGTTAAATTTCACTAGCCACACCCAGGCCTGATTACTGCCAGACCTGTTGAATCAAGAAATCACTTAAATAGAACCTGTCTGACAACGCGAAACATGCTTAAAGAGCAACACATCATGCCGCGATCTAAAGAAATTCAAGAACAGATGAGATTCAAAACAGTTGACGTGTATCAGTCTGGAAAGGATTATAAAGCCATTTCTAAGGCTTTGGGACTCCAGCGAACCATGGTCAGAGCCATTATCCACAAATTGAGAAAACTTGGAACAATGGTGAACCTTCCCAGGAGTTGCCGGCCAACCAAAATTACTCTAAGAGCACAACAACGACTAATCCGAAATCAAAGTCCGGACTTAAATCCGATTGAGATGCTTAAACAGTCTATTCATGCTCGAAAACCCTCCAATGTGGCTGAATGAAAACAATTCTGCAAAGAAGAGTGGGCTAAAATTCCTCCACAGCGATGTGAAAGACTCATTGCCAGTTATCGCAAACACTTGATTGCAGTTGTTGCTGCAAAGCATGGCACAACCAGTTATTAGATTTAGGGGGCAATTACTTTTTCACGTAGGGCCACGCAGGTTTGGACAGCTTTTTTCCCTTAATAAAAGAAATCATCATTTAAAAACTGCATTTTGCATTATCTTTGTGTAATATTAAAATTAGTTTGATCTGAATCTTTTAAGTGTGACAAATGCAAAAAATAAAAAAAACAGGAAGGGGGCAAAAACCTTTTCACACTACTGTATATATTGCACTTTTTGAAAATATGAGTTTTTGAAATGTTTTATTTAAAAATGCATTGTGGTTAATTAATATATCCTTACACCCAGTTTCCGTTAATGAAAAGTTGGAAAACAAGCAGCTTGGAATGGGAGGGAGGCCTTCGAGTCAAAAAGTTTAACAGCCACTGTTGTAATTAACAGTACTGGACAGTAGATGGAGGTCTAATCCTTCTTTCTGTAGGACAGACCAGCGCCATCTGCTGTTACTGGCATTGAAGTGGTTAAACTGGAGGAGTTGACTCGCTCTCTGTCGTTGTTTCGTGTCGAGTTGTGGAGAAAAACAGCGGCAACACGGGGATGCTGAGCGGAGGGGTTTTCTAATCGCCCCTCGGTGTTCAATGGCATGAGCAGATTTGCTAAAACACCAAATTATGGCAGGGTACCTCAGCTGCTACGAGTTTCTAGATCCTCCTGCCGCCGCATAGAAAAGCCGCATTGTTAAGCAAAATCTTTGTAACCGTGAGCAGCAATAATGCGAGGGGCGGACAGTAGCAGCAGGTCTGCCGTGATTGTGCTCTGCCTGCTGGGATGCGATTTATGGACGGCGGCCGCTAAAACACTGCAGGAGAACAGCGATGCCAAAGGTACGAGTCTACGAGACGCCGTTAGCACCCACTAATACATCACTTCTGTGTAGCTTTAAGAAGATCTTGATAAAGATTTGGAAGCTTTGCTTTGACTTTCTGGATGGCATTCCCTGTGCTAACTGTTAGCAACCTTAGCATGTGTAACGGCCATAAAGCGAATAACTTATCATTTAAATAGTTTTCCAATAGCGTTACACTTTTTGTCTGTTACTGTTTTTGAGGTTAATTTGTTTCCAACTTTGATATAATAGTCCCATATTTATGATACAACTTATAGTAGTTGAGAAATATACAACGTTTCCATAAACTGTATAAATGTCAAATACAAAAACAATGATGTTGTCACAATCGATCTCACTATTGTCATTTTGTGTTTTTATTAATTTGTGAATTAATTCAATAAAAAAAAAGTAGAATATATATATATATTAATTCGAATTTTTATTCTAATAATATATGTGCATGTATTAAAGTGCTACTTTCCCTGTCTGGTCAGTTATGAAATGTATTCTGTTTTACATGTATATTAATAAATCAAATAGAACAGGAGAACTTGCTGCTTTAGATGATACAATTTCTGTAATTTAGCATCCATTTAAAGTTCATTATTAGACATTAAAATATACTTTCTTACCTCAAGATTGTTTTTGTTTTTTTTCCTTTTATATTTTTATAGAGCGACTTAGAAACTGAGAAGCTTGAAGACTTTGTATGATGGTGATTTCAGCCATCTCGTTCATTTCTAAGATCTTTCTGAAATCGTAATGGACCTTGTTTATTTATGCCGTGATGGTTTTATTATGAGATTATTTCAGGCTTCTGTCTATTTCTGACTGCTTTAGTCTAAATGATCTCGCTAATGTATAATGTAATGCAATATTAAGTGTCTGTGCATTAAGATGTCAATGTGCCGGCATGGAAGGAAATTGAAAAGCCGTTTTCATATCACTAATTCACATTTGACATTTACGTAATCCAGATATCATACTGAATACTTTTAGGTGAAGCACGGATGTCAGGTTGCTAAAACTTGCTTAAATGATATGGCTGGCAAAGCTCACCTCTTGACAGCAGATTGATTTAACAGCTCATAGACTGCCAGTTTGTTTAAATAACTTCATGTCTGAGCTTATATGAGGAATCCACCTAAACCCCCTCCTCTCCCCTGATGGAGTGTCCTCCTCCCCCTCCATCTCCTGCTGATGAGCAGCAGCAGCACAGATGGGTCTGCTGCTCTCTCTTCTTTAGGACAGTAGACTGGCACAGTGTATGCTTTGAGTATGCAAATTAGGGCTTTCCTGCCTTTTGGCCAGGCTGTGCCACTTCCTCAACACTGGGATCTGAAAAGGGAATGCTGTGTGTGAGGCCTTGACACAGTAGAGACAGGCCTGGAGTGAGTTTTGCCATGCATATTTGAATCTTATAGGCTGTATTTTTTTTATCTTCTCTTCATAATGGTAATGTAGTTTATGCAAAGCTATGTTGTTGTTTTTTTGTTTTTTTTACTGACCTCCATATTGCCCATATGCCAAATATTGCTTATGCCAACAGTCAGATATTTACTGTAAGCAGTTGCTTGTTGTCGCACACACACCCAAGAACAGAGACTAAATGGACTCCTTAATAGTTTCCTGCTATAATGCACAGGGGCTTAGAACAATGGGTCTTAGGAAACCAGCTATGTTTTAGAGCTTGAGAGACTCATAAAGGCTGATAAAGAGAATAAGTCTGGTGTTTCCCACTTGTTAATTATCAGTAATGGGCTTTTCTGTGGTATAGTCTCTTGATTTTCGATATTTGTGTCTGTTTGTTTGCCCGCTAGCATTTCAAAGTATTTTAAGCACACCGGAGACCCCTGTTGTGCTTATTTTTTTATGTGGTCATGTTTTCAGAGAACACTCAGGCATTTTCTCTTCTCTGATTACCCAAACCTTACTATCTCCCATGGGCAAGCCGCCGGCACTTTCTCTCTCTTTCTCTTCATTCACATGCATTATCTTACAAAAAGAGATAGTGGACCCTTATATCACTCTAAATGTGCCTTGTTAATCTGTATCTTAAAAAGGCTTATAGAGTTTTACTTTTGAAATCTGTCATAAATACAGCAATTAAAAATACTGAAAGAGTGGCTTGGTTTAGAAGTGGTTGTGTTAATAGCCCTAGGCCTGTTTTCTGAGCCATTGTGTGTCTTTATTTTAGAAAATGGTGATATTTTACTGATGTATATACTATATAGGGTTATGTTTGATTGTTAACACCCCTCAAAAGCTCTTGATGAGCAAACTTTCTTGTCCAGTGTTGACGTATTTTCTATTGAAACATGAAGTTTGGGTTTATAAAAGTTTTTAATAGCATTGTTTTAGTTGTGAAGGTGTAGAAGCCCAAGAAAAAAAATCCTCTGAAGGAAATACTTTTAGATCTGATTAGAATTTTATGGGCTGAATCTTCTGTTTTTGTGCCAGTGAAACATGATAATCCTCTACACAAAAGCAGTCTTTAAACTTTAAGCAGTCTGGATGTACTGAATGAGAGTGGTCGCTCTCTCATTCTCACACACACACACACACACACACACACATGGCCTGTATGTCTCCTTTTATAGAGAGAGAGACAGCCAGTCTGCTGCACATCTGGATAAGTTATTTTCCCACAAAACGGAAAGACAAGCTTGTTTTATGTTTTAGAATGTGTAAAACTAAAAAAGAAATGTATTAGAAAGTTTTGCTTTTAGACATGTAAAATAATCATTAAGAAGCATTTAACTTGCTTTACATTAATATTTAAATCACATTCTTTGGAACTGTTCTTTGCCAATTTAAGTTGTTCTTTAGTGGTATGATCCCTGTAATTGGAAACAAATCTCCCAGTGCTCATAAGCTCTAGCTAAAGCTGTCTTTCTTGTGACAGAGTAAATTGCTAGTTACTCTTGTTAATGTAAAAAGAGGCTGAAAATTAGTTTTATTGCATTATTTTGATTGCACTGGATGCATAGATCTATCCTACAAG